CAGGCCAGTCCATAGCATCAATGCCTTCCTCTTGCAGGAACCGCTGACACACTCCAGCCACATGAGGTCTAGCATTGTCTTGCATTAGGAGGAACCCAGGGCCAACCGCACCAGCATATGGTCTCACAAGGGGTCTGAGGATCTCATCTCGGTATCTAATGGCAGTCAGGCTACCTCTGGCGAGCACATGGAGGGCTGTGCGGCCCCCCCAAAGAAATGCCACCCCACACCATTACTGACCCACCGCCAAACCGGCCATGCTGGAGGATGTTGCAGGCAGCAGAACGTTCTCCACGGCGTCTCCAGACTCTGTCACATATGCTCAGTGTGAACCTGCTTTCATCTGTGAAGAGCACAGGTATACTGGCCTGTCTCCTGGTAGCGCCTCCATGCTCTGGACACTATGCCGACAGACACAGCAAACCTTCTTGCCACAGCTCGCATTGATGTGCCATCCTGGATGAGCTGCACTACCTGAGCCACTTGTGTGGGTTGTGGACTCCGTCTCATGCTACCACTAGAGTGAAAGCACCAAGCACCAGCATTCAAAAGTGACCAAAATCAGCCAGGAAGCATAGGAACTGAGAAGTGGTCTGTGGTCACCGCCTGCAGAACCAAACCACTCCTTTATTGGGGGTGTCTTGCTAATTGCCTATAATTTCCACCTGTTGTCTTTTCCATTTGCACAACAGCATGTGAAATTGATTGTCAGTGTTGCTTCCTAAGTGGACAGTTTGATTTCACAGGAGTGTGATTGACATTGTGTTTTTTAAGTGTTCCCTTTATTTTTTTGAGCAGTGTAATTATTGATTGTATAGTTTAAATAGTGTGTTGTGTATTATACTTGGATGTATTATACTTCTATAATACATCTGTTCTTTTCTATTTCTTTTTGCTGCCATGTCAACTGAAATTTCCTCTACGGGGGATTAATAAAGTTATGATATCTTATATTTCACTTCCTTTTTCATGGCGAAATATCAATTCAACAGCATGCCTTGGACATGCTGTTTGATAAAAAAATAAGTTTCGCAATTTAACATTGCAAGGCTCTTAAGATTGCACTGCCTACATTTGAATGTCGATTTGGTTGAAGCTCTAGGACATTGTTAAAGTATGGAGTGTAAACGCGGTAAAATAATTCAAAATGGCTTACTTCCTGTTGGGTTTAGGGCATGGCTCCAAAAGAAATTTATTCAGTCTAGAGATGACATCGGTCTCTCACATTTTGTAAAGTTAGGTAAAGCATACAGTAGGGACTGGGTTTTAAAATTTTGTAGGGGGCTCTATTCAAAATCATGCCCCCAAACCATATCGGCCAATACAAAACAAACCCTCTGAGAAGCATGCCAAGTTTCGAGAGCATTTGACTATTCCTAGCCATGTGACGGTTGAAAAAGGCTTTAGGGGGCGCCAACTTGCAACCCTCAGTCTTAAAAATGACATCAAATCGAAACATTACCAGTTTGAGTTTGGCTGCGAAGTTCCGTGGCTCTTTGAGCATCCTAGAGGCCTCAGATATCTTTAAAAAATTGCCTCAAAAATGCCTCACTTCCTGTTGAGCAAAATCTCATGATCAAAGCAGAAATGTGGGCTTTGTAATAAGAGCAATAATCCCACCAAATATGAAGATCAAAGAAACTTTTTCCAAAACAGTGTTTGTTTAAGGGCGCTGGCCACGCCTGTCCCCAATCATGGCAGAACATTGGATTTCCCACCAGACCTGAGGTCTGTGCAAAGTTTTGTGAGGATACGAGTATCCCAAGACCATGAAAAATAATCTTAGCAAAAACAATAGACAGTTGGTGTCCTGGCACTTCCGTCCTTGGGTCCAAATAACTTAAACTTAAACTTATATAACTTAAAATAATTTATATAGCGCCTTTCAATGTAACCAAGGCAGCTTAACAAAGAGGGAATGTTTGCATACCAACTACTTATTTCATTATGTAATATTGAATACCAACTATTTGTGAAACAAGAGATAACACTGTAGTGGCAATATACTAGCTGTGATTCCTGTCAGCATGTTAACGCTCCAATCTGTGTACTCAGTATTTGTCACTACCTATGTGATATAATAAATTATTCCCATGCTGTGCAGTTTGTTTGTACTGCTTGTAGGATTAAATACTGTCGCAATGTTCTTTAAGAGTGATTTGTTACCCTCTTCTCTTAAGAGCCTAAGTGCTCAAACAGAAACTAACATTTACACACACATTCATACCCTGGTGGAACAGCCACCAGGGGCAATTTGGGGTTCAGTATCTTGCCCAAGGACACTTTGACATGCAGCCTGGAGGAGCCGAGGATTGAACAGACCTTCTGAGCCACAGCCACCCACACACTACTAGAAGAGAAAATGGAAGTTAATATTGGTTTGAGGAACACATTGGGTTATAGAGTCCACTCAGGGCAGGACAACACGTTTATAGAAAGATCTAACTCTTATTTGATAAGGCTAGGGTTAGCCTTGTATGCCAAGACTAGAATCAACCCAAAAATACTGTGAACTTTAACAAAATCTGTGTCTCCAAATTGTTAAAAACACTGAAAACTTAACTGTGATTTTCTACAGTACAATGATCATTACTGTGGTTATCTACAATACTTTGTTGGTTACTATGATTGTCTACTATAGTACATTGTTGGTTACTGTGATTTTTTAGGTTAGCAACCTGATTACTGTGATTTTCACAATAACTATTTGAGTAACATGTTACTGTGTATTAGTACACTGTAAGTACCTGTGCACAAACACAGTAAACTACTGTGGATTCCATAGGTATTGTTTACATTGCAGTTAGTGAACATTTTAACCTGTGTTACCATAAGGGTGATTAGAAATTAGAGTAAAAAAAAATAATTACCCACAATATGTTGCATTTTGCAGCCTGTTAAACATGCTGAAATGCCTTGTCTCTTAGAACCCTAGTGTCACAGTTTGGTGTGGGTGAGTCAGGTTGGAGGACCCAAACACAGGACACAAGGCAGGAGGAGATACAGTACAAAGGGTTTTAATGAACAAACCAAAAGCGAGCACACTTACAGGTGAGTGGCTGAATACAGAGTCCAAAAACAGGGCAGGGCAGGGCAGGGCAGGGCAGGGCAGGGCAGGGCAGGGCAGGGCAGGGCAACTCCAGGAGACAGCATACAATGACCCAACAAAGACAAGACAGAAACACCAGGTATATATACACACAGGGACTAACGAGCAGGGCGGGAGCAACACAGGTGAAGGACATGAGACTAACGAGGCAGGCTGAGAGAGAGAGAGAGCGCAGAGGAAAACAGAGAGACTTTACATGACAAGCAGACCTGGGGCAGAGTGAATAAGTGACAACACAGGAACGCACACATGTTACAAAATATCAGAACACAGAACTAGAACACAAGACCAGGAGTAAACACTAAAGACACGAACTAAAGTACAAGACTAAGAACATGACATGGACTCAAAGACCAACTAAATAACAGATAATGAACTGACCAAAAAATATCTCAGAGAAACTCAAAATACAACAGACTCTAAAGCAGACACTGGACACTAGACAGGACAGAACCCAAAACTCAACATACTATAAGGCAGATACTAAACTCAAAAGTGCAACACAAAGAATGGCCGACCGGCAGAGCGTGACACCCAGTGGGTTGAGACTCTGTCTTGTGTTTATCAAGGAATCCAACATGATTCTCTAACTACTGAGGTTTTGCTGCTCTTAACCAAATTTACATAATTGACAATATCAGCTAATTTGAAAAAACTAAAATGATGAACAAATTAAAATTATGATTTGATCTAAATAAAAAAAGAGATATAGAAAATATATTGCCATATTTGTGTTGAGGAGATGTTATTACAAATTGTATGTAATGTAGGGATATGAGTAAGTAAGCTAACATAAAAATTCAACAAGGATAATATATCTATATATCTATAGATCTATCTATCTATATATCTATATATCTATAGATATATAGATATATATCTTAACAACGGTCGGTTCGGCTTTCTGCGGCCGCATGCCTTCGTGTGCCACGAAGGCCATGCCCTTCGAAGGATGCGGTCCCTGAATTGAGACACAGCTCCAATGTGCCAAGGTATTCGAATTCGAATGTAAACTTAAACCAAACCTACTGATAAAAGAAAGGAGAAACCAAGACTAAACAGTGACAATTCCAGGATAACGTGGATGTGTTTTCGCACCTTGAATTGTTCCATGAACCCATCCCATCTGTCAAAGGGGTACTATGAAGAGGCTATCTGATATGGTCATGGGGGTACGTTGAACAAAACCGATTAAGAGCGACTGGTTTAAGGGACACACAGATGGGTCTCTGGAGAAGATTCGCACCTCACAAGAGTGATTTGAGTCATCCTGTGACAAAAAGGTGAAAATCTTATCTTTTGTACATTTAAAAAAGCCAGGAAATGCATTTTGAATTTGGAGTGAATACTTTCTTAGGTGATTAGGTTTAAATTATCTTTATGACTTGAGTTATTTACACAAATTTTATACTCCAGTCTGTTAACTGGTGATATTCTATATACTATAGTATGAATATTACAGATAAAACGGGTACAATAAACAACCCTTCTGAGAGGCCACAAAACATTGTAGCCTACTCTTATACTGGGGGCTGTGGCCTGATGGATTCCCAGCTCCTCCAGTCTGCGTCAAGGTGTCCTTGGGCAATGCTGAACCCTGTAAATGATTAGTTCCTTTACGACAAGCAGTAGACCCTTGTATGGTAGCCTCTGCCATCAGTGTGTGAATTGGTGAATGTGACATGTAGTGTAAAGTGCTTTAAGTGGTTGAAATACAACATTTCCACAAGTACAGTCTATTTACCATTTTGATGAACCAAGCTAAAACTGAAAGTATTGTGAATCTTCGCTGATGCATTCGTTAACACTAGCCTTTGTATTAATATCACTATAGTAGGTAACAGTCCCATAATTTCTTTGAGTTTGAGAGTTTTTTTCTTTTTCTTTACAGCTATCCTCTGTGTGCAGCGGCTGATTGGCATGGGCTCCAGAGGAGGCGCACTCTTTGTTGTTATGGTGACAGCGTGCTTTGCTTCTTGGGTGACAGGGGTGGTGTTCGGGAGTGTTCCTGTTTTCTACTCCTGGATCAAGTATGTAGTTTATGCAGTTGGTGTTCCATGGTCTGCACGTTGTTTCTACTCTTTTCATCTCCATCATGTCTTCTTGCTTGGCAGTGGCATGATGTCGTCTGTGTTTGGCTTTGTTGCTGCCCGGCTATCTCATTCTGTCCTACCTATCCTGTGTGTTTCTCTGTTTGTTTGCCACTGACTTGCTGCTCAGGTGTATGATTGTCAAACTCTCCTATTAATCAGAGCCTCTCTGGTGGATCAAAGTGCTTCAAATCAATGGGTTAGTTTTCTGAAAGCCACGCTTGTGCCAGCAGCCAACAATCCTTGTTGTGCCTTGTTACACCGAAGCTCTCTAAAATACCTAGGGGGGAAAGGGTCCGCAGTCCAGGTGAAGCTGAGGTAACTCTGGAAATGAGATGTCATTGGAAAACCAATAATTTCTGGAGCTACGTGGAATATATGGTTTCACCGTATACCATGGTATGAAAATGGACATTTACAAATCTACAGTATTTAAATTGAAGCATATTAGTGTTATTTAAAATCTCTGTATCTATCTATCTATATCTGTCTGGACATAATATATTTTTATATTTTACAAATCTCAATGATCTCATAATGTCTAAGAAACTAGATGTTCTGTTTCTGGCTGTAACCTGGCAATATGGAAAAGATTTTAAGATGGCAGCGCATGTAGACACGGTGGCCAGTAGCCAAGTATATGTATGTGATCTGTTTGTTCTCCTCCCAGAGTTAAGCTCAGCATTAGCTTGTTTCACACTCCTGTTAGCATGTGAAGTTAGCTTGCAGACTTGTTTTGCAGCTGCAAGAGCTAACTCACTTGTTTGCAGGGATTGTTAGCAGGCTGTTGCGTCGCTGCCGTAAGACTTCATTTTGACTTGTGGTTCATAGAGTCTCCAAAAGGAGCCAGAACTTTCAGCTATGAAGCTCCTATCTTGTGGAACCAGGTTCCAGTTTGGGTTCACATTCTCCACATTTAACCTGCTGCTCCTATTTTTATCATTACTTCTAGTATTCTGTACTCCCTGGCTCTCCCACCTGTTTAGACTTGACACAAGTCTAAACAAGACACAGACAAGGTAACAGTGACAGCAACTTTAGCATTTAGCTGAAATCATGATTTATTGTTGAGTTGAAGCCAAAGTAAGCCACAGACCTCAGCTGAAAATGTGCACACGTGCGTTTGGTGTTCTCCTTTTTGAACCATGAGTTGGAGTTTATAAAGTGTCCGACCAGAGAGGGGAACACTTTGGATCACTGCTACACCACCGTTAGCAGTGCCTATCACGCCGTCACATGCGCACCACTGGGACACTCTGATCACGTGATGGTCCATCTGATCCCTGCTTACAGGCAAAAACTAAAGCTCTGTAAACCTGTGGTGAGGACATCAAAGAAGTGGACTAGTGAAGCTGTTGAGGACCTACAGGCATGTTTGGACTGTACTGACTGGGATGTTTTCAAGAAGGCTACCAACAATCTGGAAGAGTTTACAGAGGCTGTGACGTCCTATGTCAGCTTCTGTGAGGACAGCTGCATTCATTCCAACACAGACCATAACAATGACAAACCCTGGTTCACAGCTAAACTCAGACAACTAAGGTTGGAAAAGGAGGCATTTAGGAGTGGTGACAGGGCCGGGTGCAGGGCGTTAAAGTACAGGTTTAGCAAGGAGGTGCGAGAAGCTAAACGACTGTACGCAGCGAGACTAAAGAACCAGTTCTCTGCAAACGACGCCACTTCTGTCTGGAGGGGGTTCAGACAGATCACAAAATATAAACCCAAAGTCCCCCACTCCATAAACGATTCTCGCCTGGCAAATGAGCTGAACCAGTTCTACTGCCGCTTTGAGAGTCAATCGGATACCATCCCCCGTGACTCCTCCGCTCAGCTTCAGCCTCAGTCCATCACATCTTCCCCTCCCTCCTCAGAGCTGGCCAGCTCCACCCCCTCCCCTCCTCTCTCCATCACAGAGAGGGAAGTCAACAGTCTTTTCAGGAGGCAGAAACCCCGCAAAGCAGCTGGGCCGGACTCTGTCTCCGGACTCTGTCTCCCCATCCACCGTGAAGCACAGTGCTGATCAGCTGTCTCCAGTGTTCACAGACATTTTTAACATCTCACTGGAGACATGCCATGTGCCAGCCTGCTTCAAAGCCTCCACTATCATCCCTGTCCCCAATAAACCAAGGACCACTGGACTAAACTAACTAACTAACGCTCCTGGACCCCTTGCAGTTCACCTACAGAGCCAACAGGTCTGTAGATGATGCCGTGGACTCCCCAGGAACCTACGCCAGGATCCTGTTTGTGGATTTCAGCTCTGCTTTTAACACATTAACGCATTATCCCGGACCTGCTGCAGGACAAGCTCTCTCAGCTGAACGTGCCTGACTCCACCTGCAGGTGGATCACTGACTTCCACGTGAAGCTGGGAAAACATGTCTGACTCCAGGACCATCAGCACCGGTTCCCCTCAAGTTCTTTCCCCCCTTCTCTTCTCCCTATACACCAACAGCTGCACCTCCAGTCACCAGTCACCAGTCACCAGTCTGTCAAGCTCCTGAAGTTTGCGGACGACACCACCAGCTAATCTCAGGTGGGGATGAGTCCGCCTACTGGTGGGAGATCGACCATCTGGTGACCTGGTGCAGCCAGAACAGTCTGGAGCTCAACGCTCTGAAGACCGTGAATGTAAATGCTCCGTACTTGTATAGCGCCTTTCTAGTCTTTTCGACCACTCAAAGCGCTTTTACACTACATCTGCATTCACCAGTCATACACATTCATACACTGAGCTCAAGTGCTCAAACGTATGTGTAAAACACTACTTGGCAATAAAGCTCCTTCTGATCTGACTCTGACCTTTCGATGTCTATTCAGCAACTTCAAGCCTACATCTTTCTGTTTCGATCATTAATGAATTGTTTAATCATATCTGTTGATCGTGTGGTCTTTGCTAGTGAATTTGTTACTTTCTATTGCAGGTATGACCCTGCAGAGATGATGTGTGCTGTCCTCTGGGAACGCAGTTACTCAGACATGCTGGTCTACATTCTCTGTGCTTTTTCCATCTGTATCTTCCTCCCCTTCCTCTTCATCTTCCTCTGCTCTCTACTGAGGGCCACCGTCTGCCGCTCGAGCTGCAATAGGTAAAGCCCTCAGGGCAGCCCTCAGGGCAGATTTTTTCAAGTGACACAACACAAAGTGGAAAGTAGTCAGATGATGTTTTAGTCATTTAAAAATGCAATAACTGATGTTGGATATGCCAGAGGATACAACTTGTTTAACCATAGAGCAGGTCAGGATTAGTCCTGCAATCCTATAGTGTTGCTATTGATTTTGTATTGAACTGTGTTATCTACGCTGCATTGTGTATGAGATCATTCAGCGAAGGCATCACAGTTCAAACAGTACGTTTAACAGTCTGTAAACACATCATTGTTCAGATGCACTGCTGATTCTGACTTTCTTCAGGTAGGGAATAAGTTAATCTTTTGCTGAAACAAGCTATTATGTTCAGTTCAGTTCCTTTCAGTGTTGAGCTGCCAACTTCACTCTCTGTCACCAGTGAGGAGCTCCACTGCGAAACTGATTCAGTCAGTTCCAACGCTGATTCAGTATGATCAGTTCTGTTTCCCGAGTTTTTCTGGAACTTTGATGACATTTTGATGTACGTGTCATTTTTCTGTCCCCTATTGGCTGAAACTGAGAAGGGACAGTCAGGGCACAGTGGCTCTGGAACAACCTAGATGAGGAAATTAGGTCGACTGAATCAATTAACTCTTTTAAATCCTTTGTTAAAACATACTTTTATCGTAGAGCCTTTTACATGATTTTATTTTAAGTATCATTTTGTCACTTGAGACATGACTTTTATTTCTCTGTTTTTGTTTTACCTGTTTTTATTGTTTTATGTGATTCAGCACTTTGTAATGTTGGTTTTAAAAGTGCTCTATTAATAAAGATTATTAGTATTATTATTAGTAGTAGTAGTAATAGTAGTAGTATGAAGATAAGATACAAAAAATAAACATATCTCAACACATGCTCTCATATACATTAGACAGGTACTTATATAGTAAGAACATTAACTCCTTCCTCCAATGGCAGTTTTTAATTGAACAACCCTGTCGGATGCATTCCCTGCAATAAATGTAGCACAGCCCTTGCACAAAGAGATATTGCACGCCCCTAATAACATATGTATTGCACAAATGACATACTGCAAAACCCAAATAGCCTACATATTGCACAAATGACATACTGCAAAACCCAAATAGCCTACGTATTGCACAAATGACATATTGCACAACCCAAACAGCCTACGTATTGCACAAATGACATACTGCAAAACCCAAATAGCCTACGTATTGCACAAATGACATATTGCACTAATTACATATTGCACAACCCAAACAGCCTACGTATTGCACAAATGACATATTGCACAACCCAAACAGCCTACGTATTGCACAAATGACATACTGCAAAACCCAAATAGCCTACGTATTGCACAAATGACATATTGCACTAATTACATATTGCACAAACCAAACAGCCTACGTATTGTACAAATGACATATTGCACAACCCAAACAGCCTACGTATTGCACAAATAACATATTGCAGTAATTACATATTGCACAACCCAAACAGCCTACGTATTGCACAAATGACATATTGCACTAATTACATATTGCACAACCCAAACAGCCTACGTATTGTACAAATGACATATTGCACAACCCAAACAGCCTACGTATTGTACAAATAACATATTGCAGTAATTACATATTGCACAACCCAAACAGCCTACGTATTGTACAAATGACATATTGCGCAACCCAAATAGCCTATGTACTGGCCACGGGGAGTCGTCCGACCTCTGTGGGCTTAGCTCGACGCTTAAAAAAAGAATTAAAAGCTTAAAAAAAGAACTGTGTCGTTTTTGAATAAACTAGTGTAACTTAATGGACTGATAACTTTTAACAAAACAAAAGAAAGAAAATAAAACAAGTAAAGTTGCTGTTAAACAAGGGAAAAATTGATGTCGCGGCACTTCGAAACAAAGACTTCGTTGCGCTGGTCGAATTCTTAGGCGTGCATGCTGGGCGCGTGCCGAAGTGTCCAGAGAGCAGAGCGGAGAGCGGAAGAGAAGAGAGCGGACGACGTCGTGTGTCACTCTTTTGTTGTCTGGGGCGTGGTTCCCCAGAGGGCAGTCCTTCGTTGCCGCTGGGCGGGCCGTTTTCCGGTTTCCCGAGAGACTGTCTTTCTAAACCTTTAATGTCTATAAAAGAAAAAAGAAAATCTATTTGCGCGTATTATAATCAAATATTTTCCACAATCAAACCTCACTGGTCAAACAGTTGTACCGTTCTGAGTTTAAGCATTTGGTAACAGGAAAACACTTGTCAAATTATTGGTCATGATAAATAATGAGTGACATTTACACTTGATCATAAATTGCCATACATTAATGGCATTTCCGACGATGGTATGTAATACTCATTTTGGGAGAGTTGGGGGAGCTCAGGTTACATGAAGAAAGCTTAGATTAATCCAAAAACAATCTTTCCTTAGGAAATGGGAAATTTAGGTATTTGTCCTCACATTCAAGCTGGCAATTAATAGTGTAAAGTATCACATTTATCATCATTTCTAAAGGAATTGTGTGAGAAAGTATTGTGAACAAGCACTGGTTACACGTAAAATGAAAGTGTCCTTAATCTTGCTGAAAATTAAAACACTGCAAAAATAACTTATTAAGATTCTTTTCAGCAATAATATCAACAACAGATAGCAACAACATGGTAACATAACTACTCAAATAGAGGCAGCGCCACTACTAACTTAGAAAGGATTATTATTTGAAGAGAACAGTTTATAATGAAACATTGTTTTAGCTCAAGAAGGCAGGAGTTTGTCAGGGAAAATAATTCCTTCCCAAATAATACGGAGTCAAATAGATGTGTTGAATCATTTCTTTATGTAAGCTTAAGCATTTCCTCTCCTTAAGTACAGAACAAGTACAAAGCAAACAACAGCCAGCAAATGGTAGATGAAGGAAAACAAATGGGAGAGTATTAGCATACACTCAAAAACTATTCCTGAGCTAAGAAAGGAAATGCAAATGTATTTGGCATCAGATGTTTCTCTGTCTCTTGATTGGTCTATGTTAAAACTCTCACCTACATGACAGCAGATGTTTATTGTAAATCAGACAACCTTTAGTTTAGGAATAAAAACCCTGTGACCAATGCGCACACAACAGTGTAATTTTTTTAAACTTTCCAAATGATCTTATGAACCATTAACAACTCATATATAAATAGTTTGTCATTAAAATTGAAAATACAATTATTAAGCACATTATAGATGAGCTTATTAATAAAGAATACAACATTTATAAGTGTGTTTATGAATGACTTACATATGAACAATGTTTTAAGATGATGAATTCCATATTTACTAATACTTAACTAATGCTTTATAGTGTGTAGATATCATAAAATGCTACAAAATATCAGAGTAAAAATATAAAGGAGTGTGGATATGTACAATATTTACTTAATTAAAGGAATTGTTATGGTGAACAGTAATAATGAATAAATAGTAGCAGCAGAGTATTGCACATTAGTATTTAAGCAGGTGTTATTGCACAAAACAGAGGATAATGTCCAGTTTAAAACTAAGTGTCTGTGTGTCACTTTACGAGGTAGTTGTAGTCCGAGGTGTAGATGGTAAACAGTGTTACAGGCCCACATACTGTGGTCTGCCAGTCAGGCAGTCAACAATCCAGGACACGAGGGGGGCATCCACCTGCATCGCTGTCAGCTTCTCACCCAGCAGGGCCGGACGGATGGTGTTGAAAGCACTGGAGAAAAACATGACCCTCACAGTGCTCACCAGCTTGGCCAGGTGGGTATAGATGCAGTTGAGCAGGAGGATGAAGGCGTCCTCAACTCCCAGTTGGGGCAAGTAGGCGAACTGGTGTGGGTCCAGGAGAGGTCTTAGCAGCAGCTGATCCAGAACCAGTCTCTCCAGGGTCTTCATAATGTGTGAGGTCCTTTGAGTTATTGGGACGTGGCGTCTTTGGAACAGGAACGAAGCAAAATGTCTTCCACATCACAGGAACCCTTTGGAGACTCAGGCTCAGGTTGAAGACATGGTCAAGGGGGCTGTCTTCTCAACTGGTCAGCAGGTGGGGGAGGGGAGGAGTCGACAGACTGGAGAGAGCTGTTAATCTGAGAGCCAGGGGAGGGGGGAGTAGGGGTCTCCCAGGAGGAGGGCGGGAGGACAGTGAGGAGGAGGAGGGGGTGGAGGTATCTGAGGGTAGACAGCAGCTAAATTACTTTTATCCAAAGCAACTACAACAACTTACAATTGCAATTGTCAGAGGTCAAACTGAACAGTCTTTGTTGGGACAGTGCAGTCCACACAGAAGATAATGTAGCCCAAGATATATTCAGTAAGCCCATAACTGTTCTCTCCATGTGGCTATGAGTGCATCCCAGTCTGTCACCTCGAAACATCCCTGTCTTGTGGTCGCAGGCTGCCTTTTCACCAGAGGCACATGATGTGAACCAGGTTGTGGTGTGTGTCTGGGATTACACCATCTGTTGCAAGCCCCCCGCCTTTATGCTTACCGCTCTCGGTGCAGTCTCTGTCGGCCCGAACAGTCTGAAAGCCGTCGATGGAGACGTTGTAGTGTGGTGTAGCCAAGTCTCCGTGAAGCACATTAAACTACACTCCCGGAACTCCCTCTGACTCCGGGCTAGTCACACACATTCATACACTGAGCCTAAGTGCTCAAACGGAAACTAACATTCACACACATTCATACACAGGCGGAACAGCCGGGGTTCAGTATCTTGCCCAAGGACACTTCGACACGCAACCAGGGGGAGCCAGGGATTGAACCGCCGACCTTCCGATTAACGGCCAATCCGCTCTATCTCCTGAGCCACAGCCGCCCCCGCCAGTGAACCTCACGTTGCCCATGATGAGAGAAGGGAGACGCAGCTTAAATCTCCTCTCTTAAGTCTCTGTTGTCTGGACCCTGTCTTTTCCCTCGCCGTTTCGTTCCTCCTCTGCATCCTCCCTGTGTCCTCCACATCTCAGTGGGGATGTCTGTGGGCCTGGACGCCAT